ATATCAACATTGTTTTGGATCAGGCCAAACTTGTAAATTTCTGTGTCTGCCTTACAGTCTCACTAGTACATTCTCTCCTGGCGACTCCAAACAGCCAAATTGGATTATTTACACCAAAGTCGCACTTACGACTTCTCCAAGATTTATTCCTTCCAACCGTTCGTGGACACTGCCAGAAAGTTCCACAGTCCTGATAAGGATCACAACCTGCTCAGCTTTGATACAGTACCTCATATAGTTTGCAGCTTCGCACAGAGTCTGAGTGCTGCAGCTCGGCACATTCTCCACACATTCCAGGCAGCTTAAATAGCTGCTGATGTTTCCAAATTTGTCGACAATCCAGATGTCCACCAGCTCCAAACAGCAGAATCCATCCAACCATCCATCCATTTTCTTTACCCGCTTATTCCATTTTGGGTCACGGGGGTCGCTGGTGCCCATGTCCAGCAAACATTGTGCGAGGGGCGGGGTACACCCTGGACGGGTCGCAATTGCATCACAGGGCCACATAGAGACAAACGAGACAAACAAACATTCACTCTCTCACTCACACCTAGGGACAATTTAGAGTTACCAATCAGCCTAACATGCATGTTTTTGGACTGTGTGAGGAAACCGGAGTACTCGGAGAAAACCCACGCATGCACGGAGAGAACATGCAAACTCCACCCAGAAAGGCCCCTGGACCGGGGTTTGAACCAAGGACCTGCTCGCTGAGAGGCAGCAGCTCTACCAGTTGCGCCACCGTGCTGCCACAGCAGAATCCAGTTGCCATAAATCCAATTATATTTCTGTCAAGGTAAGAGGGTTCTCCTTCACCCGGACTACCTGTTCAGAAAAATATATCAATTTCGTTGAGGGACCAGCTGATCATATCCATCGTAAACAATTTGGAAGGTATACATAAAAGAGGCTCTGTAAGAAGTTCACAAGACAAAAGAACGAAGCAGGGATGGACCAGAGGAGGACACGTCTGCCTTCCACTGAGAGCAAGCAAGAATCAGTACATGTGTTCTGTACATGTGACAAGATGTACCTGGATGACGTAGCTTCAGCTGGAAGGAGATGAAGATGTGACACAGACTGTCGGATAGTCGTCTGAGTGGTTAGCAGTTTAGTGTTAGCTTCTGCTAATTTCTATACTTTTTTAGTGGTTTAGCGTTAACGAAGCAAATTTTTTTGTTAGTGAAAAACAGTAGTCCCTCGCTACTTTGCGGTTCTACTTTTACAAATTAACTATTTCATGGGTTTTCATCATAAGATTGTACACGACACACGACAGGCTGATTGATAGAAGGCGATCAACCAAAGCATTGTGCTCTGTATCCTGGGCGCTGAGTGGCTCAGTAACCGTAGCATCTTTCTGCTCTTTTTTGATGCGTTCATTTTTGAAATATTCATAAGAGACCTACCCTCCTTCCCTTCTTGTTCGCACACCTCTGTGTATGTATCTGGGGGGGGGGCTCTTCTCCCGTCGAGCCTGCGGCACTCGTGGGGCATGGCTGCCAGTAGAGACCTTCCTCCACGCTGCCTGTGTCCTCGCGCTCGCCTCCCCGGGACCAGTGGAGTAGACCCATTCAAGGGAGGGAAGGGGGGCAGAGGCCACCGTGCCGGCGACGCTTCGGATCTCTGGGCACGCCGTCCGTCGCCTCAAGCTCTTACCCGGTGCAATGCTCAAGTTCAAGTCAACTTTACTGTTGTTTCCACCACACGTGGTACATGAGGTGGAACAAAATTATGTACACAGGGTCCCAGTTACACCCACAAATAGCAAAATGTAAATTTTAAAAAGAAATGCTAAATAAAGATCTAAGATATACATTAAGATATATGCTAAACAAACGCCCAACGGTATGATGAAAGATCTAAGATATATGTTAAACACTTATAATGCAAAACAATACGGCGTAACAACAGCAGCCCGAACATGAGTCTTTGGTGAGCTGATAGGTATGAATATATCCAAAAGGATATATATCTATATCATTTGCTATATCAAGAAAGACAATGTATACGGATATATATAAATACTAAAATAAATATAACGTCCCTACTTCTCGGATTTTCACCTATCGCGGGAATGTCTGGAACATAATCCCTGCAATAAGTGAGGGACTAAGTGGGGGTGCATTAGGGCCTGTAGTATGGGTAGATTACACATCTGGAAAGGCAATCAATGCAGAAAACACATCTTCTTAGGGAAGACTTTGCTTATTTTAGCAAGACAATGCAAAACCACATACTGCATTCTTTACAACATCAGGGCTTAATAGTAGAAGAGTCCGGGTGCTGAACTGACCTGCCTGCCGTCCAGACCTCTCACTAATTGAAAACCTTTGGCATGCCATGAACAGAAGAATGAAGCAAAGGCCGAGAACATGTTGAACAACTAGAATCCAACATGAAACGAGAAAGGGCCAAAATTTTCCTCCAACAACTTCACCAGTTCCTAGACAGTTACAGACTGTTGTTGAAAACAGAGGTGATGCTTCACAGCGGTAAACATGGCCCTGTTGTTGGTCAAAAGGGATAAACATTGCACACCGCAACACAGGAGTCTGAAATCATCGTGGTAGATTATATAAGATAGGTGACTGGCGTTACAATACAAGCACGAGCACAGAGAACAGATTAAAAAGAAGTTCAATCTTGCTGCAGAGCTTAATTTTTACTCAGTGTTCCTCTTTAATCACATCAGCTACACAATGTAGCATCTCCAGATTGCAGCCCTTGCAAATGAAAGACTCTGTCAGGAAGGTGCAAGCAGCACACTGGCAGCACATCACTTTCCTACTGCCCCAATGGTATCTGTCCTTTAACACTAATAAGCCAAAGCATGTTTTTCATACTTGGGGAGAATCTTAAACAGGGGGGTAAAGGAGACATAGAAGGCACACAGGAAGGATAAGTCATTATTAAACTAGATACCTGTAATTCTCTAAAACATCAGAAATTACTGTCAGAAACCTTTTTATCTATCCATGTCTCAATTGTATCTCTTTTTTTCCTGAATCCCCCTCATGTCCCAGGGGTTTGACCTCCTTTTTTTGTTTACTCTTTTACTTTTCATGGTCTCATCTCCCCTCCAGCAGCCTCCGTTCTCTCCCACAGAGTCAGTCCTTGTTTGATTGTTCATTGTTCCTTTTGACTTTAAAGGATTTTTAAGGTGCCGTCACTCTTCCAAAAGTCAAAGAATCAGGAGGCAGAGATGGAGCACTCTCTCCGAGGAGTGGTCACGACTCGAGCTAGTTCTCACTGTCATACGTAATGCTGCCGGTGCCTTTGGAGAACTGTGATCTGGTGAATTACAGAGCCCACAAAGACGCCAATTATCGTCCAGCTTTCCTCTTTCTCTTATTTGTAACCAGCTCCTCCTCTGAGCTGAAATATCTTTTTTTTTTTTTGGTTGCCAGCATTACAGGTTCTTTTTGCAGTTGTCACTGCAGCACATGTTCTAACAACAAAATCTATTATAAATGCACACAAAATCTTGCCACCTTTTGTTCCTCAGACATCAGCTAATTCATGTTAATTTTGTTGTATTTTCTCATGCAGTTTTTATCAGAAGCTTTTGATAACTTTTGAAAATTATACCTTTAATTTCAGTGGATACAACCTTTTGTTACATGCATTAAAGGCTGAAGGTTCATTTAAAAATTTGCCATTAACCAAGTCACCTCTGTTAGCAAAATATTAATTGGATCACTGAACAGACTTCAACTAAACTTTCAGACAACAATCACTGGGCATACAACTAAAACTTAACTTTTAGAGTTAACTCAAGATGGCCGACACAGCCAACTGATGGTGGGAAACAGAAATGGCCACAACTGCCAATTTTAGACTTTAAGCTAAAGGCTGGTGTGGTAGAAGCTGAGCATCGTCTCCATCACACAGTCCAAACACTACGTATTACGTATTTTTTGCTTAGAAAATTGTCTGTTAGCAAAATATTGAATGAACCATTGAAAAGAGTTTAATCAAGCTTTCAGAAATTCATCTTTGTGCGTCTACAACTGATGAACTTTTTTAAAGTACATTTAGCTGCAGTAATGAACAAGCTCACTGACTCACTGCCTCTGAAGGCAACTGTCAAGCCTGACAGCACCCTCTGCTGGCGAAACTGAGTCACTGCAGCCAGACGAACCTTCAACAGGGAATCCAACATTTTTCAGTCAGGTCATCTGGACAGTTTTTTGTGCTGAAACGTTTTCGCTTTCGATCCGGAAGGCTTCATAAGTCAAACACACAACACAACTGATTAGAGTAAACTGTTGGGGGAAGCATCAATTTTGTGTTGTGCGTTTCCTTGACTGAATCGAAGGTGAAACGTTTCAGCACAACAAAGAAACTGTCCAGATGACCTGACTGAAAAATGTTGGATTGTATACCTGGATTATTGAGCATGGACTTTGTTCTTAAACAGGGAACTGACAAAACAAATCAGATTTCCACAAAGCCACCATCCTGGAAGTTGTTTCTTATTTTTTTGTAGCTCACAAGGAATATTTATCTCAATTAAAAACACACAAGTTGAAGTACGGTAGTTTAAAAAAAAAAAAAAAAAAAAAAGAAGCTTACACCGAAGTGTTGAAGCTGCACTTTGCTAGATTTTTCTACCTGGATTATCGAGCATGAAGCAGGATATTTTGAACCACTTTGGCGAGGACTGCCTCAAACTAGTGTGGAGCTTGAGCAGGTGGCGGGGGCAGACTACACCATGAAACTGGTTGACCCACTATGAAAAGGTGCCATTTGAGTTTTGTTGTGGCTCTGCGGACTGAAGAAGTCCTTTGGATGAAAGATTAAATATTTCAACAAAAAGAAACTGTCTGGAGGGTCTGACTTAACGGTTAGAAGCTGCACTTTCGTTGGAGACATTTACATTTTAACAACAACCATACTAAAAAGCCTTTTTTTTTTTTTAAAACAGTCATCATTTATTTTTATATAAATACATATAAAATACAATATAAACAACATTTTCACAATATTCACTGGTGTAAAGATCTGACTAAATGGGGGGGGAAAAAAAAATAGAAAACTCATTTGAAAACTTTTAGTTAGCGTGGATTTGTGCTTCATAAAAGGTGGAACTCTTTCCACACAAACTCAATCTTGTGTCCTCAGTCACCAGAGCATTACAAATTTAAGATCAAAGATATAAAACTACTAACTTCTGCCATCTGAAATCATCATCAGCACACTGCTTAAAAGCTGGAAAAGGAAATTCATTCCTGCTTTATTGACTGAACACCTCAACTGTTAGCTCTGAGTCCCATAAGTGTCGCATTGCAATTTGCCTCAGTAAAGAAAGTAGTCTGTTCTGGATCCTACAAGAACCATCAGGTTTAGTCAGATTAATGTCACAACACTGCTTCATAGGAGTTGAAACGAGAATGAAAAATGATACCACTGTATGAAAATTGCACTTTTCTCTGTATGTCTTTACAATCAAAAGCTGCTGTGAAGAAGTGGAATGTAAACAACTCAGTTCTGCACTGATGTAACCAATCAATGACCTGAACAACAGGACCTGGTAGCTTTACTATTAAACTGAAAACTTTACCAGGCCTAGTGAGTAGGGGAAAAAAAAAAATAATTCAGTGCACATTAATAGAAACGACAAAACATTTTTTGATTAAAGTCTTCTGCGAAGATAAAGTTGTATAAAAAAAAATATATTTTAGGATAAGCGGTTTAGTGAAAGTCCAGTGTAACTGTACAGTAGAGGCCCTACAGTTTTACCACAGGTGAAGACAGTCGGTGTGAATGTCAAATTGAATCTTAAATACAATAGAAAGCTGGACATTTGAAAAACCTTTTTGCATCAGAACCAGGGATTCATAAATAAAAGCTCTTAGCTTAGTTCAGTGATCCAGACAAACTAGCTTGGTAAAAGACAATCCTTAAATTATGACCAATCAATAGAAGAGCAGTCAAAGAAAGAAACGATCCAAAACAAGTTTGGGTTGAGTCTCAGAGCACCTGTTTGCTTATGTAAAGGAAGTCAACCCTGAAAAAGCCCAGAGGTTTACGTCACTGATACTTTTCGTGGTCTGCGTTCCCATTCATGACTCCGTTGGTGTGGTGTGACCATGTCTGAGCCTGCAGAACTTTAGGCAGCCTCTTGCCTTTGGTGTAGGCGTGGTACCAGAAGTTGAGGAAGAGGAACAGGAAAATCAGGCCATACAGGCCAACGATGTAGACAAAGATGGGGAACTGGTAATTGCAGTCCTTGATGAAGAAATACTGGGAGATGTGAGTGGTCACCATAACAAACTGGATCTGAGGAGGAGAAAAATAAATAAATTGCATCAACTGCTAGAATGAAACATCTACACAATGGATTACTTTATGAAATAATTATAAAAAAGTGAAAGATCTCTTAACTTACCAGCTGAATAGTAGTGAGATGTTTCTTCCACCAAAGACAGGCGTGGTAGTTGGGGCCCAGTGCAGTCAGCCCATAGTATGTATACATGATAACATGGACAACACAGTTCAGCAGCGCATGGAACGTTCCCAGACCACCTGAAATTGAAATTTCAAACACCAAACATTAAATTTCTAACACAAAAAAAAGGCAGTTCATGTCAGATACGTCAGATTGGGCGTCAGGAGTTATACCTGGAGCAAAACGAACACCAAACCACCAGGTGAAGGGCATGATGGCGTGATGGTAGACATGAAGAAACGTCAGCTGGCTGTTCTTCTTCCTCAGGACAAAGAAGATCTAAAAATAAAAAAAATAAAATAAAAGTTCACACATGTATAGTAAACAATTATTTATTTTTTTATTTTTTTAAACGTGGAAAAATAAATAAATAAAAATAAAAAATAAAAAAATCACTTACAGTGTCCAACATTTCAATAAACTTGGAGAAATAGTAAAGCCAGCACGTTTCTGCCATCTAGAGGAAAAAGTAAGAGTTCAAGCATCAATTCCAGAAATGTCGTCTTTTACATGTTCAGAAAAAAATAAGACAAAGCTGCAAAGAGTAAAATTAAAAAAAAAAAGTGACTTACCCTTACAGCCTGGGGTGAGTAGGAGTAGTCAACAAGGTCGCAGCGAAACGAGTAACCAGTTCCCCATCCTGACATCACAAACTGGAGAACAAGACACATTTAGAAAAATAAATAAATCACTATTCTCGTTTAAAAAAAAAAAAAAAAAAAAAAAAAAAAAAAACTTTAAATTTCTTGTTTAAATGCACCAATTATCCAGCTCCATTAATAGGCTTGATGTTGTAATTTAGAACAGTTCAAGTTAAAAATCAGAGCGTTGTTGAAACAAGCTTATCTGGTTTGACTTAAAAAAAAAAAAGTTAAGAAATACAAGTCTGCCCAAAATGAGTCATTTCAAAAAATGGCTTCATTTCTGAGCTACACTCTGTCATCTGAAGTCTTAAATTCAAAAGAGCAATTTCAACATCGCAAATTCCAAGGCAGATTTACAGAAACCACAGCAAAACAAAAACCAACACACCTCATAGATCATGTAGAGCGAAAGAGCCACCACCCCAAAGTTGTAGACAACAAGGACTCCTTTGAGGTCAAAGGCTTTGCGGTTCTCCATTATTTTAGGCCCCAGTGATGTGACGAAGTAAATGTATGCGACGATGATTATCGTTTGTGGGAGTGGGGACGACATGAGCAGCCAGTTCTCTGTCCGGGAATCTGCAACAGGTTTGGGACATTGGCAGCGTTTATATACAAAGGAGGGTAGTTTTTGAACACAAGTAGACTCAAGAGATTGTGTAAAAGTAAGCATTGTTAATGTTTCAATGTTCGAGACTCACCTGCATTTTGCATGAACTCATCATAAATGAGGGCTACAGAAGATTTGATGTTAGAAAACTCCATTTTCAGGCAGGAATCCCTGGAGGTCACCTAGGAGGAAAAAAAAAAAAGGCTGGTTAAAAATGCCAGTTTGAGGTCCACAGGTCCACCGACATCTGAATACAGAACAGTACATAATGAGTCAGTGATATTTTGTCCATGATGCACGCCTATATATCTGGAGCCCTGCAAGGAACGAGGCGAGATGTTCCAATTTAAGAATTTTGATATGAAGAAAGTCAAAAAAAAATAATATCTTGCACATTACAAAAGACTTTGTAATGTGTTGGAACAGTGGAAGGAAAAACAAACAGTGCAACATCATGAGCAAGACGTGCAGGTTCCTCCACATTCCTATGGGATTCTCATTTGAAGAAGTAGTTCCTACATTTATTAAAAAGGTCACTGAATAACTTCCTAAAATACGCCAGAGACTAAAACCAGGTGTGAGAAGGCATTCCATACAGTCTCATCAGAACCAAAAGAACAGGAAGTAAAATTGGAGCTCAGAACACTGAATGCGTTTAAGACAAGATCAGGACAATTTAAATTTTGCCATAATTCAAAAGCTTAAGCGAACACAGAACAGGTTGCCCCTTTGTGTTAATTGGATTTAAGAGATTTGATTCTACTATGTAGCTCTATTGATCCTGACCCAGTCTAGTTAGAGACAAATAGACAAATGTCTGTCCCTGTACAAGAGGCAGTGTGGTAAATGTTCACACCTTGACTGAACTGACTGGTTTTTTTTTTTTGGTTTTTTTTTTTTTAAAGCACTCCTGGATTAAAATACAGGAAATGGACCCCTGAAGGGCTTCCCTTTTAAAAACTGGTTGCCAAAAAGTGAAGTTGAACAAAATCAGGACCCTCAACTCTTATTAAATGTTTGGGGGGAGATGGTTGCGCCTGAAACAGCTGTGGTGCCTCAGCTGCATGAACTGTGGGGAGGAAAAAAAAAAAAAAGGGGTAAAGGGGAAAAAAAAAAAAAAAAAAAAAACTTAAATTTACGTTTTCAAGGTGTGTCTACCTGATTACAAAAGGTACATTTAAAGACGGGGAAAGAAAGGCAAGGCTTTCGAGTCTCTAATGACGGCAAACCGGCATGTCTTGGCACGCCAGAGACGTACTGGTCAGGGATCATGATGCCAAACATTGTTCCTCCCAGGACGCCGGGCTAATTGCACTGAACGGCTGACTTTCTTTAGCGGCTAGCAAAGACAAATTAGCTAGCGTTTTAATTTCACATTAGTTTAAAAACGACTTCCAAGTCTGCTTTTTAGGGCAACCACAAAAAAAAACTTTTGAGATTTAAAGCGTGCCCGTACAACAGCCGAACGGATAATAGAAATATTAGAAGTTTACGCTCAGCGTTTTTTTTTTTTTGCGACGTCACGACTGCTACATCCATCAATTACCAACGGCTTTCTCGAAACTTGGTCCCCGTTTTTATTTTCTCCATAGATTGAAAATCTTAGAACCTAAAACCGACAATGTGCAAACCTTTTGTGCTGCTTCGTTGAAATCCACCTGTTGCGTCGACTTATTGTTTTCTTTCCCACCCCCTTCGCGTTCCACCTGTTACTTTCCAGCAGGTACTTCTGTATGCTGCTGCATTCTTCTCCGACCGCTTTATCTTTCATCTCAGTGGGCGGGGTCTAAGGGCTAACCACGCCCCGCCACTTGCCGATTGGCTGGTTTGTTGTCAAACGAGGTTTCTCATTCTTTCTTGATGCCTCATAGAAAACTATGTACATTTTGGTGAGAGAACAATATATAATGTCTACACGCCTCTAGTTTCAGTAAGAAAAGAAGCAGCAGAATGCTGGCTGCTGTTATTTTCCACTGCCGTCATCTTGTTACAGCAAGATTATACAGCCACTGAACAAGGCACTACCAGTCATTTGTGAAAAGTTAACATCTTAAATCACTACATCTGGTAATGGAGTTCAGAAGTTTATGTTGTCATTATGTAAATCTGGGAGGGTGTGTGTCCAAGTTAAAAGGTTTCAGTGAAGCTTCTAGATGCCAGTTTCAGCAGGGGGTTTGCAACAAAACATAAACAAGAGCGAAAGAGAAACCATATTTATGCTTTTAATGCCTTTTGATGATTTATTCCACCTAGAGATTGTAAGCAAACTATTCTTAAAAGGTTCCAGATGGTGATACTCAAAAAAAACAACAACAAAAAAAAAACGGCTTAAAATATTAGTAATTTATTTTTAAAAATTCAAAAGCATTGTTTACAGCTATTTACACATTTATCTTCTGTTTTATAGTCACTAAACCCCAAAATTAGGGCAAGCCCCTATAATTTGTTGCGTATAATGTAAACAGATTAAAAATGTCTGCGTTAGTCTTCGTCACTGCTCCAGGTGTCCTGAAAGGAAGGGTTCAGAGCAGACGGTCCAGCAGCACCCTGTGAAAATAAAGATATTCAATTTAATGTTATGTTTTAATTTATATATTTCTCTGAATACATCCTTTACTTTAACAATAAATGTCCATAGAAATTAGAACTGCACATGCACAGCAGAACATGCACATGTTTGTAACTCGAGAGTTAATTTTGTAACACCAAGTTCAGGTAAGGTTGAGCTATCAGACTAGAAATTCCACGGATGATGCACGGTTATCTATTATCTCATTTTTGGTACAAAGATAAAAAAACAACAACACAAAAGCTTAAAGGGAATGTTCAAAGGGTTTTATCAAGTTTTTTTCATAAACAACTTAAGGACATATATGAACAAAATAAATAAATCAATAACACTTTGGTGCTCTCTGAAATCTTTCCTGCAGCTTATATCAATCAATCAGATGATCTTTTTGTAATGCAACACCAATATAAATTATAAATATCCAATTCTGTTCTCACTCTGAAAAGTTTTTTTTTTTTTTTTTTTTTTGGCTTTAGAATAACTTTTGAGCGTTTAAGCATCAAATATATAATAAACAACATTCAGTGTCTCTGGCTCCAGATTTAAATTCAAAGGAAAATTAAGTGTAAAAGTTGTATGACATCAAGAAAAGTGAACAAATAATATAATGAAGACAGACAGCTATTATCCTATTAGCTTAATTTGTGCTGGTTTCCCTGAAATTATTTTGATTTAGAAACTGATTTCACAAAACGTCTTTTTTTATTGCAGTTTGTACTGAAAAATACATATTTTTTAATGATTATTTTTTCATCACTTGAATGTGCAATTGAAGGAAGTCGTTTGTAAGCAGTAGACATTAAAAAAAGAAGACAATGGGTAATTTTAAAACGGATATTTGAACTTGTTGGTTCTTTTAAGTAAAAATAATTACACCTAACTAAATTCCTATGAATCTTGGAAACAAAGCGCAGTACCATATTTGTCGGACTATAAGGAGCACCGGATTAGGCGCAATATCAATGAGCGGGTCTGTTTTCATACATAAGGCGCACTGGATTATATTCCATTCAACCTTTATTTAGACAGGTAAATCCCATTGAGCCTCGAGGACTCATTTACAAGAGAGACCTGATTTCAACAAAGAATGATGACAACAATGAACAACAGCGACAACAATAGACAGTTATAAAAAGGCATTCAGATTTTTTTTTTTTTTACAAATAAGATGGCCAAAAAGTAACAAAAACAGCTAGATTATAAGGCAAATGTAGAAAACTAAAAACAGGAACATGTCTGTGTTGGTCCCTGCCAGGAGTCCATCAGATAAGTCAAACTTTATTCAACTCATTCACAATAAGCACATAAAATCGGTTTGAGGTCAGTAAGCAAAACCAGAATAAATAATACGGCGCACTGGGCTCAATGTTGATTTTTGAAAAACTTACACAAGGATTTTAAGTGCACCTTATAGTCTGAAAAATACAGTAATTATGTGAAATAGTATTTTTACACCCCGTACCTTTGTGTCATGATTTGACTCTTCTTCCACGTCTGGGGTACGAAGGACAGGAACCCAGGCCAGAATGTTACTGTCTTTACCTCCACTATACAGCTCCTACACAAACAACATTTAACTTTATTTAGTGTTAAAGAAAATGGCCTTCAGAACTAAAACGTTACTTTCCTATGGCATAAGCGCCTGTTAAACACCAGCATATACATATACTTAACTGGAACAAAGACTACAATATTTATTATACTCAAAACTATTCATGCCAAGCGAAGTGTCTCACAGGAAACACTGCAAGTGCTCTGGCCCTAATCATAATTTATTTTCCAACATAACTGAAGGAGAAATATAGGAAGTATATTCTTTAGAACTGAAAAAAAGAAATGTAATAAGTACATTATCAGGACTAGATGTCCTTTCCTGGAACTCTGCTGTGACAAGCTGACGAACTGCATTCTCTTGACTGTCACACACAAAAATGTAATTGAGTCACCGGAAGCTGACATGAACTAATAAGGATCGTATGGGTCGGACGACACTTTACATCCCTCCCCAAAGTTACCTCATAAGAAAATAATCTGTCAGCGCTGAGATAAACTGAAGCAGAAAAGTGAAGGTGAAAAACATACATATTTACATTAATATTAACGGTTCAACATATTTGTCAACAAAAAAATTGTATAATTCAAAACATCTTAAATAATAATAATGTGTTATTTGACCAGCTGTGGCCACAAGCTAAACTAAAATGGTCCGTCTTTAACACACTGTGATGCTTGCAAAATATCAACTGTGGGAAAACGAATTCATTCAACCTTTATTTAGACAGGTAATCCCATTGAGCCTCGAGGACTCATTTACAAGAGAGACCTGATTTCAACAAAGAATGATGACAACAATGGACAACAGCAACAACAATAAACAATTATAAAAAATCATACTGCAGTTTTTGTTTTTGTTTTTGTTTACGAATAGGATGGCTAAAAGAAAAAGGTAACAAAAAAAAACAGCTAGATTCTAAGGCGAATGTAGAAAACTAAAAACAGGAACATATAGGAATGACGTTTAAATACAGACTTTGTTTTGATCAAAACTTCAAGATGAATTATTTCTGTTTATTTTGACACAGCAGCATAGTCGAAAGAGCATTTGCAAGTCTTGATTTATCCTATCTTTAGCATGACTGCTACGATTTTAATGTTTTGTTTTTTTATTTATTTGCATGTAAAGCTGGCATTGCTGCCTGTGTTTGTTCATGTCTTCTGTTGCTGTCTCACAATCAAAGGCATTAAAATATGAATTGAAAAAAAACATATATGACTTTTATAGTGCTGTAAAATTAAATCCTGCAGCTTAAGTTACTAGAAGATACATAAAGTAAAAAAAAAGATGTCTCGCTCAACAGTTTAATGTAGAAATGTATGAATTTAACAAGCTTGATCAGACTGTGACAAAGCACTAAAAAGTCATTTTGTTCCAGTGGTTTCTGAATATTTTATCATTCAATCTTGAAACAACAAGAAAAACAGAGTTTCGGATGTTAGGGACACTAAACTACTAACACTTTTCATAGTTCTAAATCTGATAAGATTTAAAAGAGGTGAAACTACGCTGAACAAAAATATAAACACAACACTTTTGCTTTTGCTTCCATTTTTCATGAGCCGAACACAAAGATCTAAGACTAAGTTTTGAGGGAGCATGCTACTCTGGCAGGGCGACTGCAGGAGTGTCTAGCAGAGTTGTTGTCCATGAACTAAATGTTCATTTCTCTGCAATAAGTTGTCTCGAAAGATGTTTCAGAGAATTTTGCAGGACATCCAACCGACCTCACAACTGCAGACCATGTGCAACCACACCAGCCTAGGACCTCCACATCCAGCATCTTCACCTCCAAGATCGTCTGAGACCAGCCACCTGGACAGCTGGGAAGCTCATCTGCATGCTCTTGTCCTCATCAGGGTCTCCACATGACTACAGTTCCGTGGTGTAACCGGCTTGAGTGGGCAAATGCTCACATTCAGTGGCATATGGCACATAGGAGAGGTGTGCTCTTCTCAAATGAATCCCAGTTTTCACTGTACTGGGCAGATGGTGTCGTGTGGGTGAGCGGTTTGCTGATGTCAACTTTGTGAATTGAGGAGTGGCCCATGGTGGCGGTGAGGTTATGGTATGGGCAGCAGACGTATGTTATGGACAACGAACACAGGGGCTGGTGTGGTTACATGTGGTCTGCAGTTTTGAGGCCGGTTGGATGTACTGCCAAATTCTCTGAACCTGGACATGCCAACTGCACGCTCCCTCAAAACATCTGTGGCATTGTGCTGTGATAAAACTGCACATTTTAGAGTGGCCTTGTATTGTGGCCAGCCTAAGGCACACCTGTGCAATAATCATGCTGTCTAATCAGCATCTTGATATGCCACACCTGTGAGGTGGATGGATTATCTCAGCAAAGGAGAAGTGATCACTAACACAGATTTACACAAATATGTGAACAATATTTGAGAGAAAAAGGCCGGTTGTGTAATAGAAAATGTCTTAGACCTTTGATTTCAGCTCGTGAAAAACGGGAGCAAAACCAGAAGTGTTGCTTTGTATTTGTTGTTGAGTGCACTTCTGCACAGACACTTTTACCATGTTCTGAAAATAAAGAGAGTAAACAAAACGTCCGAGCGCAACAGCTTCTTTTACTGGACAGGAACACCTGCATTTAAATATATGGATGCAAATGTTGACTTTACCACGTTATCTGTCAGAGGGAGAGGCTTACCAGCACTGCAGAGTTGTAATAGCATCAACAGCGCAGTTAATAAATTAAAACCAAAAGAAAGAGACAAACCTGACATGAAATCTGTGAACTCATTACAGCAGAGAAATAACTTGGTAAAAACACAAACAAAAGGATGCACTGCTGAAAGACAGGTACTTTGTGTTTCACCTGATAGTCTGGGTGGAACTGGCAGCAGTCCACATTATTGTAGTGACCCCTAAGCATCGTGACAAGTTCTCCCGTATGGAGGGCATAGACGGCCACCGAGCTGCCGCAGGGCACAAACACAAACTCCGGGCTGCAGCCACGAGACACGGTGAACTGCAGCTTTTTACGACTCTCATTACAAACCTTTCCATAATTTACCTGAGGGGAGACAAAGAGGAAAAAAAAACAATGCAAGTGAAAATCTAAATTCAGTTTTGTTTTTTTAAATTAACAAGGACATAAAATGCAGTCCATGGAATTTAGTCACTAGCTGTCTTTTCCTGGAATTGCTCAGCCAGGCCAGGTGAGAACAACTCACCAGTTGCATCATCGTGCTGAGGTCTAGTTTGAATTCTTATTTGGCAAACTTACTAGAATTGTGTAATTCCTTCCACTGTTGTGTCGTAAACATGACAAAGTAGCTCCTACTGCATCATCATGATAAACGCCTGATCTTTGACCTTCTAAAAGGTCTTCTACTTTAAGTTCACTTTTTGCAACAGCTTGAAGAGAAAAACCGAACCAACCGCAGCACCAAGAAGCCATGCAGAAAATGGATTTCAGAGAACAGGTTTGAATTCCTCATGCTTTATGCTGAAAGTGTGATTCAGTGCTGTGAGCTTATATATATGGCTGTGATTTAAAACAATTGACAGGAGTCTATAATTAAAGTTTTTAACTGTATCTTGTTAGCTCTGTTGGTAAAACATACCATTTATTGACATGTTCGTAACTCTGCTCTGATTTTTTTAAAGTCATTTTCCCACTAACCTTAAAGCACTTAAAGCAAATGAACAAGACATTTTGTTGTTGTTGTTGTTGTTTTTTGGTCTATAGACATGTATATACACATAAATGCATATTCATATAATTAATAAAACATTTGAGCTTCCTTCATTTTAAAACTAATTTCAACTAAATGTTTTAAACAATAAACAAAAAACAACAAAAAAATAACATTACAGTGAAATGTTTTATCTGGTGTTTGATTTGCGGTGAAAACAGGGAACAGGTGGAAGAGAACTTGGAGAGGTAGGGGAAACGGAACAAAATAAGAGGAATGAAAGTCAGCTGTAGTAAGACAGAGTACATGTGTGTGAATGAGAAGGAGGTGGAACAGTGAGGCTACAAGGAGCAGAGGTCACAAATGTGCAGGACTTCAAGTACTTGGAGTCCACTGTCCAGGAAAATGGGGAGTGTGGTAAAGAGGTGAAAGAGAGAGTCCAGGCAGGATGGAGTGGATAGAGAAACGTTTCAGGAGTGATTTGTGATCAAAAATGTTGCAGCAAAGGGAAAAGCAAAAGTTTACAAGACAGTGTTGAGACCAGCTATGATGTATGGTCTGGAGACAGTGGCATTGACAAAAACACAGGAGAAAGAACTGGAAGTGGCAGAAATTAAAATGTTGAGGTTCTCTTTAGGAGCGACAAGGAGGGATAAGATTAGGAATGAGGTCATCAGAGGTCCAGCACAGGTTGAACAACTGGAAGATAAAGTTAGAGACTAGACTAAAATGGATTGGACATGTCCAGAGGAGGGACAGTGGCTATATTGGTAGAAGGATGCCAGGAAAAAGACAAAGAGAAGATATATGGATGCAGTTAGTAAGGACATGGAGGTAGCTGGAGTGAGGGCAGAGTGAGATGGAGAAGGATGACTCGCTCTGGTGACCCCTGAAGAGGGAAAAGCCAAAAGAAGAACAAGTAACAAGTTTTATTTGACCTTAAGTTACCCACATTACCGAGAATAGATGGATACATTTGATCCCTGTTGAACCTGTTCTTGTGATTCAAAAAACAGAGAATCACTCATAGACACAGAAATTTAGTATTCATACTCTTACTATCCACGTACACCAAGGGTCTCTGTGTTTTCTTAGCTTTAATAAAATAAAGTTTTAAATAATTATTTTTTATGGTGTGTAAGTAGTTCAAGCAAATAGGGCAGATAAAGACTAAGTTGAAGACGGTGAATGAAATTGAGTACCCCAGCAACAATCAGGCAATTTATTTATGAGGAGTTATTGAACAAATGGAAAGAAAAAAAATGGTAAGAGATTGATAACATACAATAATCGTTAGCAGCTAAAAAATGTTAAGTTGACAATTTTAAAAATTACACATAACACTTATCAAAACCAGCAATGGAATTCAAATAGTAAAAGAAGACAGCATTTTATGTCTACCAATGACCTGACAACGAATAGTTTCTGCATTTGTTACCGCAACATAAAATGGTAACATATGCAGTATTTTGTGTATACATTTAGCTATTTAGAAATCTACAAGAGTCTGTTTAGCAACAGTCCAGTGAAACTTCTCCAAATACAACCATATATCTTTTTTTTTTGTAAATGCAGGCAATGCGTGCAAAAACGTACCAGTGTGTTTTCCCCACTAGCACTATTCCATAATCTCATGCGGTCATCCGTTCCAGTGGTTAGAAGGTAGAGACCATCAGAAGTAAAGCAGAGACCATTCACTCGGCCATTATGAGCTGTGTTGACTGGTGAGAGGAAGGTGAGGCATGTTAATAGTGCATTATTTCCTCCAATGAATTTCAACACTTCTATTTACACCACAAACCAATTAACTGCTCTTGATGCATTTGTTGTTAAAATCATTTTGTTGGAATGAACCAAAAGCTAAGATTATGTAAGCTTACTGTACCACATGTGAAAATGTCTATCTGCATAACCAGAATGCTGAGAGATAACAGCTAAAGTAAGTTAGATCAGCTGCGATCTGGTTTCCCTCTTGAATACAAACAGATCTCAGATAGGGAAAGTATATACTATACTCCTAACCCTACCTTGATCTTTCCACTAAAGTCACAGACTGTGCTAAACTAAACACTACATAAAAAGAAATCACAATTGTGGTACAGATAAAATATCACTAAAAGTAAACTTTAGTAATCTGTGCACTAACAAATATTTAAATATGAAATTTTAATTCCTTTAATTCCTCTTTTTCTGGATGTAAATCACATTTTTTGGATGATTGTTTCCTCTGGTATCAGATGCTCTGCAGCTGGAAGGATTTTTACTGAAACTTTTTTAGTTTTGGACGTTTGTTATGATGCGTAATCATGGCAACAAGGCAGTTTTCTACAACCAACAGCAGCTGATTAACATCTCAAAAGCTCAAATAATATCTCAACTACAGCCCCAAATCTCAAATGAGTTGAGAAGGATGTTCTGTGGATGGATTCTCATCTACCTGCCGGCTGTGCTCGAGGGCCTGACCACTGAAATCCTGGAACTAGCAGGAAACATGGCTCATGATAGCGGAAG